TAGTGCTTGGTCCTTGGTTGGATTCAGTTGAACCAAACAGATCAATAATCAAGTGCTGGGCATCTGTGGAGGATTGTTCGCTTGGCTTCGACCTGCAGGAATATTTTCATAGATCATGATCTTTCAGGATTTTCAGGATTATTTGTTTTTGTGGAGAAATGATTTATGTTCATTGTTGTCTTTATCGGTTTGGTGTCAAATCGCTGTGGATGTATGTAAATCTGTGTCCTGGTAGAGAAACAAATAATGCCATCGTGGTGTGATCTGAATGCTCCAGTTTCTACAAAATCAAGTTGTAAAAGCAGAGGCATGAACTGACTAATGTAATTGCAAAGCATTTTTTGACGTGATATGAAACCTAAGATACACAACTAGTTATTTGACTTCTATAGAGCATATGAGTCAGCCTTAGAATAGAAAATAAGTTTTCTTCCCACGGATTTGTTCTGTAGTTACCCGGGAAAGGTCAGCAAGAGAACACACCATCCTGATAAATATAGGCATGCATTTCAGAAAGCTGCAAACAGTAAAAGCAACAGATCATTTATCATTGGTTGTGTATTTTTGGAGCAACGGTTGCAAATGTTATAACTGTCTCTTTGTGTCAAAGCAATGAGTCACAAATCTAACTACTGTTGTGGACCATCTGGAGAAATGTGAGTTCTTTCACAAAAAATAAATGAAATGTATCCATAGTAAACATAGAAAACAGCTTCAGTTAATTCAGTCTGAAAATGTTGAAATAGGGGCCAAGGGTCTTTGCATGACAAATAAATATGACCTCCTGTTATGACAATGACGTTTACATTTTTCACGTCTGTCAAATGTGTTCCACAGAGTAGTTTGAGCTTTCTCGATTGAACGGATGACAGAAGTTTGTATTCTTGTTTTTAATATGTCGTAGGGTCTTAACGCTGGTAACATATCAAACTGGACCAACATCCCGAAATAGACTTGGAAGCAACCATGATCATTAAGCAGCCCCTTGATCAGAAGATGGAACTGTCATTGTTCCTGATTGTCTCTCAGGATTGCATGGACTCAATGTTGTTCTTCTTTTTCCAATGACTGAAATCATGAAAACAAATTGAACTCAGAGTGCAAGGCTTCCCTGCATGACGATTTTTATCGGATGACAGGTTAATAAATATCAAGAAAAAAAGAAAAATTACAGACTTGGTGAGCAAAGACCTTAAGGCTAGTTTTATGCTTTCTGCATCCTTGAGTCTGCTTACCCACTAATGTGCCACTACGCTACTATAGTGCAGGAGGGGTTGTGAGAAGAGGTGCATTGCTCTAACAATACAAACACAATGAATTATGTAATAATTCATGGAGGAGCAAGACTTTAGATAAATGATAATGTGATCTTCTGGGTATATGTGGAACATGTCCTACAAGCGGACACAAAGTGGATTATAAAGTAATAAGAACAACTGTGCTTCCGTGGCGTCTGCAGCTGTGTACCCGTCTGTAAGAGAGTATAATTGTGGTTGGCCTGGGACATCCCGCTGCTTCCTGCATTGGAACCAAATGTTGTGGGTTATAAATGAGTTACATACTGCATGAGAGAAGAAGTCAACATTGGTTTCGGACACACAGAATTACTCTGTTAAACACCCTTCCTCCTTTCTTCATGGAACTCATTACCCAAGACTCCATCATTCGGAACAAGGCTGAGCTCTTCTCTACTGGCTGTGCAGTACCAAATCCAATCAGTATTAAGCTGCTGTGTTTGACACCTATCAATAACATCAACTGCTCAAAATGTTGTGTCCTTTTACCATCATAAATAAGATATTTAGGGAAGACATGAACAGAATGTCATGCTGGAAATTCCCACTGACGAGAGGCTCCAGTTTACTTCCTCACTACCACCGTTAGGCTTTGTTAAATTATTGTGCAGGACCACTAACTAAATAAGGAACAAGCAAAGAAAAGGGAATGAGAAACAAATCACTACCGTAGTTATAGGCAACGTTAAAGCAGCTATTGGGAAAGCATTCTTTTAACGTCTGTTGAGTGTATCCCTCTGACAAGCTATATCCTCTGTATCAGTCTGCTAATGTATGAAACTCAGCTCTTGCCAAGAAACAGCTGGGGAACTTGGCAACGTAGAGCTCTCTCTCTCTCTCTCTCTCTCTCTGTGTGTGTGTGTGTGTGTGTGTGTGTGTGCGTGTGCGTGTGTGTGTGTGTTTTTTTTCATTTGCGGAGCAGCTGATCCTTCCCTGGCTGTTTCTAATTTGCATGTCACTATAATGTTTTACAGTCCCACTTTCAGTAAGCCCCTCCCCCCTCCCTCCCTTTCCCCAGTGTAATGCAGTTTTAACTCGAAACAGACTCACAGAGGCACCAGGTCAGTCCCTCTGGTGACAGAGCAGCAGGGAAGAGTTGTGGGAATCAAAGGGTCTAATTCCCCAAGTGAGGGGCTGACTGTTGCCCCCCCCCCGCGTTGCCTCCTCCTTATTTAGTGGCTCATTAATTTTCGAGCTTACAGCAACGTCGAAGCAGAGTAAAGCTGCTTGACTTCATATCAGACGATTGTGAGGTCTGCATGAAAATGAGAGTATCGAAATTTGTTGGGACAGGTGCAGGTCTAGAGGCAGCTTAGGATTGGTGCACATCAACAGGATAAGATGGAAGAAAGAATGCTACCACAATACGTTGTTAGCTTATACAGTATATGGACTTTTTCAGCATTAAGAGAAAATAGCAACGTGCTGCAAACCATGTAAATTACCTTGTGGCCAGGAGAAAAGCAAATATAAAGATGATGAGCCTGCCCCCACTTGTTAAATGTAACTAGCCACAAAACTATTTTTCACGTTGATGTCCTATTTAAAGGTCTTCAGTTGTCATAAAAACCTTTTGAGTTTTTATGACAATTTAAGCTACCACAGGTTCTGTTTCATGTTTGGAAGGGGAGGGTGAGATGAGAGGTATTCAGCTGCAACATGCAATTTCAACACTAGATATCACAAAATTCTACACACTTTACCTTTAAGTCTTGAGCGCATCTCCAGATGATGTTCCCTGGCAACCCATTGATTTAGAAAATACCACCTTGCTAATAGTTGACAGTTTCATCTGAAGCTGCTCTGTGGTTTTCCTTTTATTTCTCTATACCTTTTTATTATGAGCAGATTCAGATTCTGAACATTAAAAACCCTGTTTCTCACAAACTGTAGTGACAGTGATCACCTGTAGCAGGAAAGATCTTGTGATGTTCATGGATAAAATCATATAAATTAAGTCGTAAAAAAATCATAATATTACAGAAAAAAGCAATATTGCTTGAAAAAAGTTGAAATTTACAGGAAAAAAGTTTTAACATTGTAAAATGGTCAGTGGCAGTCTCCAAATTCTACATGAAATAAAGTGGAGCAGCTCTTTGATAATGATACATTAGAGGTAGCATGCAGGCTCGAACTATCTAAAGCTACCTGAACAGTGGTACACCCACAGTTCTTTGCAGAGCAGAGTTTCACCACCTGAGGGATAATGTCTCTACTTGAATTTTGTCTCATCTGCTATGCAGCAGCCGTGACACGCAATCCCTGTGGCCTGCAGCTGTGCCGCAACCAACTCTCTAGGATTCTGCTTGGATGAGACACCATCATCACTTTTGGAAATGAAATGTGTACCGTAGATGTGTAACACACCCACTAACCGATTTGAAAGCGCTGTCACATTTGTGGATTCATGGAAGAGTGCAAAGGAGATGTGGTGCACAGAACACGCAGCAGCAGTGAGAGTCTCAGCTGTGCTTACATGACTTGTTTCGGGGAAACAAGGACTCTGTTTGATAAGTGGCCTTCGTTGGCTTGATTGCAACTACACATTTTGTGTGGTTCTTTGAGCCAGAATACTAATATTGTGGGTACATTTGACCCCAAATCGACCTCACATTTAATGATAGCATGCCGAGATCAGATCAGGTCAAAGTAGATTCATGTGCTTAATAATGTGGAGACGTTAATGATGACATTTTGGAGGTGATAAATCATACAGCTTATTGTCTTTATAATATTTATAATTATCTTCTGATCCTGATCCTGTTTGATGTTCACATTGAAAAGATTTCTAACACGTTTGACTTTTACAACCACAGTCTAGACTGATGACATCACAGTTTAGAAAGTACAAAGTAACTGCATGAAAAACAAGAAAAATATTTTAGAGTAGAGTGATCACTCTGTCCATTTTCCTGTTTATTTCACCTTCAACATTCATTTCCTTGTTTTTTTTCCATGTGGCACTTACATTAGTCTACCTGCTGTTCAAGGTGTTGTACACTTAATGTGCTCAGTCACCCAAAAAACACAGAAAAACACGCACTGATGACCATTTTGAAGTAATATATCACTGCATTGTGGTTCCACTGCATTGTTTTGCTCACGCTTCGTTGCTTTGGCTCGTTACAGCAGAGCCCATGTGGCAACGGAGGCACCAGCCAATCCAAGTTGTGTTTGAACAAACACTGAAGCATAGGCACTAGTTAGTTGAATCCTGTTAATTAATGCGAAAGAGGAGTGAGAGACAGGAGGCTTAGCTGGTGTGTGTTCATCTGGTTCTACATTTCATCTCCCATGTACTTCTCTTATGCATTGCATTGATCGTTAGCATTGCATGTTAGCACGGAGGCCGGCTATGTTGTGTGTCCTAAGAGTGAAACTGCGATTGTTGTCGTTGTGTATTGGGTGTGAAGGCTGAAAGCCTTGGGCACATCCACCAAGCGCACATGTAACCAAGCGTTAATGCCACATATATGTGAGTCCAATGTTAGATTATAAATTAGTAATTATTTGTGAGCTGCTGAGTCTAGGTCTTAGTCAACGTATATTTAATCCCCATCTTAATTGACTCTAATGGCAAATATAATAGTAAAACCGTATTAGATTGAAACCATTGTTATCAACAGCTGAAGAACCAAGAAACGCTGTGAATGAAATGATCGTTCACTTCAATGATATCGCTCAACAGTCGATTCTCCATTCCAGATCTGTTGAAGGTCGATCATCAACCAGCTCTGACATGGCCAAAAGGAAGATGGACAGCATCGGGCGGAGCTGGATGGTGGTGCTCATACTGCTGTGTGATATTACAAAGGTACGACAGTCCACAGACAGGCAAGCTCGTGAAAGTGAAAACGCACAAACTAAATATACTTCGTGAATAAGCTGGATGGAGAAAGCAAATCTAAAAGCAGCTGTAATTAATATGTGTCCAGCTGGTAGAAGCTGTCTTTTTTTGGTAGCGCCCTTAGATTTATGATTCACAGAAAAAAATTACAGTATGTACATTATTTATAACTACTGTAGTTTACTATTCAGTTATGACTTATTTATATATGTTGTAGATTTTACAAAGAAAAAAGAAGCTGCTTCAGGTTGGAATATCTGCTGTGCAATAAAAAAGCTGCATACTGTGGTTGGCAGTGTTTCAGAATTGATGTCATATTTTCCATGGAGCGCAAATAGATTTAATGGAAGCTAGTGTATGTTAGACTCCCTCTTCAGACGTAGGAACTTGATGAATGCTTTACTATAATACATCCCGACTGAGTCAAAATACACGGCCAATATTGAATTCAGATGCATACATGTGAGGACTGAATCCTGAATATAGTCTTCTCTCACCTTTATATAAAAGACATGAAATAAAAAGAACGTAGGAAGCATATGCTTAAATCTGCAGCTTACATTTTATACTGGTAAAGATCATGAGAATTATTATTTTGTTGTAGCTTTGGTAAAATTATTAAGCTTACTTAAAAAAATCTAGGAAAAAAACAATTGCCTTGATAAAATGTGAGTTTTGTCTCGAATTATATCTACTTATATCTACAACTACAAGTAAATTCAGCTTAACAGGACAGTTGTGATTACTTCATCTAATACATTTAGAAATATTCAGATTAGGTTAATAACTAGAGCATGGTTTACAACTTTACTTAACAAAATGAAAAGAACTGAAATACTAGACACGTATCACATCAGTTCTGGACTGTGTCAGGACAATGAAACAGCTGTTAGTTTTCTTTTATATTCACTTGGGTCTGCCCATGTTGACTTTGTTTCCCTTTAAATGTTGCTGCCGCAAAGAATTGTACTAAAGGAGATAAAATATGAAGTACTCAACACCAAAAGCACACATATTAGCTTTTATTCAGTTCCTTTTAAGTCAACAAACACATATTATTTGTGTTTGTAGAAACATTTATGTAGACTGAAAGTGCACTGGTTGGTGGAGGCCTACAACTACAACTTTCAAGATGATACACATGTTTTAATGTTGAATATTTCGAACATCAAAGTCACCGTCGACGTATATTTTGTGATACCCCTACTTAAGAGTAACGTCTCTGAAATCTCTTTCTTGCAGTTTTTCGTGGAAGGGAGTCTGGGGTCAAATGAAACTGAGCACCAGCATCCGACCAACGTCTACCATGACGTTGGAGTCACCAGGGACAAGATCGTAACTGCACAGTTCGAGTGCTATCAAAAGATAATGAAGGACAGCACCCACAGCAGACAAGGTAGCTGCCACGTTTGAATGGCACAACGAAACCTTTAAGCTTTTTCTATTCAATATTTCATGGTTCAAATAACTGCTTCAGTTTATTTGGACAGTATTTGAGAAAATCTCTTGTTAATAAGCAGAATGTAAGGTTTGGGTTTGACACATTGGGAGATACTGGTCTTAGACGGTATTATTAGTACTGTTAGTTTGTGGGATTTGCACAGGCACCTAAGGGTTTTGGGATTGATCAGATGGAAAGTACAAGGAGTTTGAGCAATCTCATTAGTTCAGAAAAACGGAGCCGGATTATTTTTCTCAAATGAATGCAGTACACTTCTGTAATTTGTAAAGAATGAATAAATCAAAACATTCATTTTGTAAATTGTATTAATCCCTGCATGGTAGCCTCTAACACACTCTCTATGGTTCTAGAGCCCCTGTGTAATCGTACGTGGGATGGCTGGCTGTGTTGGGACGACACGAAGGCGGGGGTCATCTCAGAGCAGCACTGCCCAGACTACTTCCAGGATTTCGATCCGTCAGGTGAGATCTGTGGCTCATAGCTGCCCAACATGAAGCGAAGCAGCAGTAGCTGAGCTAATCTGACTTAATTTTCCTTATTGGTCAAACAGCCACCTGTAAGTCACCTGTAATCTGTATTGTAGCCTTGTGCATTTGCTCGGTATCATCAACGTTAACGCTCCTGTGGAACCACAGAAGATCTTACACAACTGTTATAGGCTGAGAACTGACTCAAGTGACTCATAAACTGATATTCATTTGTTAAATTGGTGGAATGCCTCTCTATCCCTGAGTTTGATTCATTTAGAAGAATTAAACTCATAGTGGAGAACAATGATGATCCAAACTATGCATTAAAGTCTACCTAGAGTCTGAACACTACAATAAATGATTCTGAAACATAAGATCTCATAGATGAAGAAGGTTTTTTTCTTATTTTTTCTATTCTCACTATATATTGCTTGAGTTGTCTATAACTGACAAGGGCAATGCTCTGTCTGTTTCTGATGCAAACTTTAATTGGGCCTCCAAGTACTCTTGCTCCCACACTCCAAAGACATGCAGGTTAAGTTAATTGGAGACTTTAAATTGACCGTGGTGTGAATATAGATATGAACAGATGTTTGTCTCTATATGTCAGCTTTGTGATACACTAGTGACCCTCTCACCCAATGTCATGATTGGCTCCAGCTCCCCAGAGGCCTCTAGGGAGAAGATGGATGGATGAATGATTCTGAACTACATGTGTTTTTTTTTTATCTTTGCTTTCCTGAATGCAATCAAAATGTGTGCGAGCATACATGTGAAAACCATTTTCAAACAGTCTGATGTACTGTATGTCAAAGAGCATCTTTTCTTTCATTGTCTAGAAGCAATCTGCATTTTATTTGCAGAAAACATTCTGTAAAAACGGGGTAGAATCAGGCTGGGGGGTGTTGTCTCATATCTACTCTATGTATTATTCCTACCTTCAGAGATGGTCACAAAGATTTGCGCTGACACTGGTGACTGGTTCCTGCATCCTGTTAGTAACCGGACATGGAGCAACTACACCCGCTGCAATCAACACACCAATGAAGTCAGAGTGGTTAGTGACTTTATGATATGGCTTCAAACACACATGAATATTCAGATGAACTGAGTCATTGTTTATCCCTGACCTTTAAATATTGGATCTCTGGGAAGTTACTGCACTGTATGTTTGCAGTGATGATATGAGACAAAAAGGTCACTAATGTGCAAATGACATGCATCAGATAACATGAAAACACAACTGAACACAAATGTCATGCTCATGCTGGATAAAATGTAGTGAGGGGTGGCACAAGAATAAAAGTAAAGGCTTCATTCAAATAATGAAACAAAGTAAGAGGAATTTCTTCTCTGGTTGCCATGAAAGTGCAATGTAAATTTGTTTCAGTCATGCGCTGAACTCCGGATAATCTCCTGACACTCTCTGGAGTTTCTCCTGCTTGCCCTCTAGTAAAAGCTCCAGATAATGTCCAAATGAGCTGACTGGGGAACACAGCAGGTGAACTTCCACAGACAAAAAATGAAAAGAATACAAATGTCTCAGGATGAAAAAGTTGGGCCATACACGCGAGAGACACAGGCGGAGATGTCAAGAGAGTTTTTGGTGAAAAGGTTGAAGCCGACATCAAGGTGCTGTGAACAAAAATATGTGACCTCAGCAGCGGAATTAATATGTGCTGTCTCTGCCTGCTGCACCACCCCTCACCTGAATGTTCCAGAGAATATGTTGTTGTGAAAAAAAAGAGCCCACGTCCCCCATGTCTTAAAAAGGCTGAAGTGTACATGGGTATTTTGGTTAGAATTGCATTACAATCCATCAACTAAAGATTAGTGGGAGAGGTTGAGGGGTCACAGTCCAACATTCTCCAGGGACCAAAAATTAATTTCTCCTTACTCGTACACTTCTCAACCACAAACACAATTTAAAATGTAATAAACTGCACCCTAACATTTGACTGTTACATTGAACATTAGCTACACTGCTGTAGGAACGACATGGTAGTGGGTCTCATGAGTGGAGTGGCTTTATGGAAACATCCTGATGACACTAAAGTGATAGATTGTCTCACAACAGTAGAGGTCGTTATGAGATCCAGATCATCTAATTTGTGTCTCATTTCCTTCCAGACTGCAATGAATCTTTTCTACTTAGCCCTGATAGGACATGGATTGTCACTGACGTCCCTCTTAATCTCCCTTGGAATATTCTTCCATTTCAAGTGAGCCAACAAACCTCACCCAACATACTTATCTCATCCCTCGTATAAATCAGCAGCACAGTGGTGTGAATTTGTCTGTCTCTTCTTGCAGGAGTTTAAGTTGCCAAAGGATCACCCTTCACAAAAACCTCTTCTTCTCCTTTGTTCTCAACTCTGTCATCACCATTGTTCTGTTGACAGCAGTGGCAAACAACCAGGAGGTGGTACAGAGTAATCCAGTGAGTTTATGTATTTATTTACATTCTTTAATTATTAACTATACAATCATATCATTGTTTTACACATTCAACTTGAACTATTCCCTTTGTCATCCTAGTTTCAGAATTTAAACATAAATCAGGTTAAACACTGCTCCAGAAATCTTGGTTTATTTATTTCAGTGCTATAACAGCTACATTATTTGATGAATGTCCTACAACTGTGAACATATCATCTGAATTCCATGTGTACATGTTACTTCCTCAGACAAGCTGCAAAGTGTCCCAATTCATACATCTCTACCTATTTGGCTGCAACTACTTCTGGATGCTGTGTGAGGGAATATACCTGCACACTCTCATCGTGGTGGCCGTGTTTGCTGAGAAGCAGCATCTAATGTGGTACTACCTCCTCGGCTGGGGTACGTAGGAGATAATGGCCAACTTACTGCATGTTCCATAATTGTAATAAGCTGTATTCTTTAAATAGTTTGTCATTTTATTGTAGCTTTCAATGAAAATGTTATAAAAAACGTTCTTGCAGGCTTTCCTCTCATTCCGGCGACCATACATGCCGTTGCTCGAAGTTACTACTACAATGACAAGTAAGTGTGGTATATTATAGTTTGTATCAAATCTTAAAAATCATGGTAAAAAATCAAAATAGGCTCACACCACTAATGCCCTCGTCCACACAAAATAGTTTGCTGAAAGTGAACTGTTGGCATGGCTAGTGAGCTTGTGAGCTAACTGTTTTATGAGCTACCCCTACAATAGCTCTCTAAGCATCTCTCTGTTTTTTCTCTGCTCTTGGATTTACATCCCTGTGGTATTTTTACACCAGTTCGATAAAGACATAAAATGAGAATCTTTATATCATTATTCATCATTTATTTTTTGCAGTAGACTGCATATAAAGATGGACAACAAAAGTGAAGCCAAACACCTGGATTTCTCCCTGGTTTTAATCTGTTATTTGGTGCCATAGAATGGGTTGTGATGTCATGATTGACAGCTGAGATTGACTCGTGATTGGTCGAGTATATATTTTTGTGGGATGCCATAGCATGTATCCAGAATAAAATCCTAGTGTTGCCAGACCTTAATGCAAATATACAACAAAACATTTTTAAATCCTGCCTAATTTGTAAAATGTTAATCTGGCCAGCAGAAGAGAATGATTAACTGAAATGATCTGCTGTGTGTTTATCTGCATCTTGCTTAGTTCAACAACACATTCAGCCAGGCTGACCCTCATGAATTCTCCCAACCTGTTCATGCACTTCATGAGTCAGCTGTCATGTGATGCATCGACACTGTTGTGTAAACTTTTCTCCTTTGTCCTCCTTTCCACTGTAGCTGTTGGATTAGCTCCAAAACATCGCTACTCTACATCATCCACGGCCCCATCTGTGCTGCTCTTCTGGTAAGAAGGTTCAGCGTTTTTGTTTTGTTTTTTTTTTCCTTCCCTGATATCAATCAATTAAAGCAAAGTAAATGACAGAAATATTCATTAACTCAAATACACCAACTGATTAGTCCCACTTTACACTGGATGCACTGTTTTTGTTGTGCAACAAGCAGCAACAAGCTGCTTTTGTCTTCTTCCGAGTGGACACTGTGGGGGGGCTTGCAAGCAGGACATAGTTTCATAGCATGCATAATTGTGTTTATCTTGTGAAATCAATGCATCTGCCCCTCCGAGGATCTCCCCACAGGTCCCCTGGGCCGCTTTGCATTCTAGGAATTTTCGTAATCGTTACAGCCAGGCACACTTCAGAGAAATCTGGTCCCTTAAGGTGCTCGGAGGACTAAATGTTCCACCTTGAGCAAACTTTACAAACACTTTTTTTTTCATATTCACGAACTGAATTGTGTGGCGATTAATAACATTATTTTCAAATGTTAAGAGTATAAGTCTGTCAAGTGTACAAAAATAACCACAGCAAATATAGACTATGTCACTGTGACATTTATAGTTTTCATTTTGGACAAACATGAAATCCAATCCTCTTCCGTCCTGTTCTCTGTAGCTTTATACCTTTGACTTTCACTGTGTGTCTGAGGTGTATTCTATTGTCAGGTATTGTTCACTGGCACATTTTTTAGTTATTAAGAAAATATATTGACAACATAGCTGACAGCAGCTAACAGCCACAATATCATGGTGACCTAATAATGTCTCCTTTGCTGCTGTCTTCCCCAGGTGAATTTGTTCTTTCTGCTGAATATTGTGCGAGTGCTCATCACCAAACTGAAGGTGACCCATCAAGCGGAGTCGAGTCTCTACATGAAAGCAGTGAGAGCCACCCTCATCCTGGTGCCTCTTCTGGGAATTCAGTATGTGCTGCTGCCTTACAAGCCAGAGGGACGGGTGTCCTCTGAAATCTATGACTACATCATGCACATACTTATGCATTACCAGGTGAGACGATGGGTAGCCGAATCTACTCCAAAATGATGTGATTCAAGAAGAGTGTCAGATGTGGCTGAGTGATTGATACCAGCTCATTTAATTTAAAAACTGGAAAGGCAAACCTCTGCCAGGGCCATTGTATACTACACGTCCCTTTAGAGCTAAAAAATAAAAAGGTTGTTCTGATTATCGTAGATCTGAACACCATGAATATGTCTCACATTACGCCCATTACACCCCATTTACAAATATTCCCTACCTTGCAATATTAAGGGCAGTTCTAATCTTGCATCCGCTACTTTACACAGATTCACACAAAAATGGTTTGCATTTGTTAGTGGTCCATGTCTCATCCCTCCACCAAGTTAGGTGCCGGCCAGCTCAGCACGTTTTGGCGCAATCCAGCTAACAAACCAACAAACAAGTCACTGGTGCAAACATGATCTCCTCTGTGGAGTTAAAAATACATACACTGTATGTATGCCATGCTGTTTAAATGCCTAGTGTATATTTTTAGATTGGTATTTAAAGTTGTACTGTGTGTAAAGTCCTGTTCCATGTATGTGTATATGATTTACAATGAAACTCGGCCACATGTTAGTCTATCTCTCTTCCGGTGTAGAGATGTTTACTAAATCAACTATCGTCTGGACAAACCCCTTCATTTCCTTAAGATTTCATAAGAACGTTTAGCGAAAGCCAAACATCCCCGTCGGCCTCTGAAGAGACTTTGTGTCTGTTGTACCTCGGTGAAGAACAGCAGGAAGGAAGGCATGAATTATCTGAGAGGGGCTGAAATCAGTTGCATGTTGGCGATGTGTTATCTGATCGTCCTGTGCTGTCCCAGCGTGGGCAGTGCACAGAGAACATCTTGAGCAACAGGCTGAATCAGCTCCAAAATACAGTTTGACCTCGCAGCATGTTAGACCTTAAAATATGATCTACAAATAACTATTGTCTTTTGATGCTTTAGACCACTTACTAAGCTGTCGTCTGTTTTTCTTTTCCTTCCAGGGTCTGCTGGTGGCCACCATCTTCTGCTTTTTCAACGGAGAAGTAAGATGGGGGTTATACCCTTAAATATGTTTCTATTTAGACCTGCATTCACATATACACAGACTTATCATGTCTCTTGGTGATCAGGGATAGACTTGGCAACTCCCTCTGCATTGCCATTAGTGCAGGATGGTGGAGGAGGCTTATGTCCAAACAGGCTCAGCTCCCTGGGGGGTTGCTGCAGACTAAATATCGTTTACTGTTGGCAGGTCATCACAGGCTTGCTTTCAATTATGCAGGAGATTGATCTGCATACAAAGTAGCTTGTCTTTGCGTGAATTGAACGTCTTAGAAGAGCAACTCATTAACTAGTTAAGCTGAGAGGAAAAGGAGTCAAATATCACAGAGAATATATTAAAGGCATGTGATCAAAACTACAAGACAACATATGTCTTGAATATGAAAATGTTTGTCAAAATATAAATTCGATAATTTGAAATGAAAAGGAAATGAAAACAAAACACGATGATTTTTAAAGGAATAAATCCACATTTTAGGAAATATTCTATACATTCAAACTATTTACAATAGTTGGCTCAAAATTGTAATATGTATTTCTTGTCTTAGCATTGAGCACAGAGCTATAGTGTGTGAATGTCATGAAAACGCTCACTATTTATTTACTATCTCAACTTGGTAATCTGTACTGAAATTGACAATGTGCATTTTCGGAGTGAGTTATGAGTGAATCTTTTCCATGCAACAGCCAGTGGCCTTAGGCATTATGTTTTGGGATGTTTGTCCGTCCGTCCATACAGTCCTGTGTAATTGTGAACAAGATATCTCAAGAATGCCTGCAGAGATTGTATTTCAAATTAGGTTCAAATGTTCAGTTGGACTGAAGAATGACCCGATTACATTTTAGTGGTTAAAGGTCAAAGGTCATGGTCGCTGTTACTTCACACTTTCTGTCTTGTGAAGGCATTCATTTAAGTACACATCATGGGCTGCAAGCTTAGGTCAACGCGAGCCGCTGCTCCTCTGATGTTTTCTAATCACTCACACGTAGAACTGATCTTTATAAATACCTGCTGAATTAAACATTCTGCGGGAAGAACTTCTTTGTCTTACTGTGTTCATAAACTGTTGAATAGTTGCATAGCTGTCAAGAAGAATGGGCGCATGACCACACCTGCTTTTCAGATTTCAAATAGGACATATGACTTGATGTTTTTATCAGTTTTACTATTATATCTTCACATGTACAACCTAGATTTATATTTTCAACTTTGAAAATGCTTTGTCTAGCTTGTTTGTGCTTTTATAGTGATAAAAATAAATACACTTCATTTTCCATATAAATTTAGTTTTTTGTGTATTTTTTGGGTCGATGATACACTGATGATACACTATGTCAAAGTGAATTTTTTTTCTTTGGTCATAAAGACAATGTTGTGCTGAGTAAAAGACACTAAACAATGGCAGGGTAAACATTTATTTATGTGGTGTATAAATACAAATTTAAAAAGCATTTAAAAAAAACGGCCAAAATAGCCCAGGACTCCTAATGATTCCAATACAGTTGTTTTAATAACTGAAATGTATTTTCTCTGGTCAGGTCCAGGCAGTTCTGAGAAGGCACTGGAACCAGTATAATATCCAGTTTGGCAGCAGCATAGGAAACCACTCGGACGCCCTGCGCTCGGCATCCTACACGGCCTCCTCCATCACAGAGGTTCAGGGCTGCTACAGCATCGACGGCCACACTGAACACATGAACGGGAAGGGCTGCCACGAGGCAGACGCCTCCATCTTAAAATCAGATAACCCCTTCGCCTGACAGTGACACTCTTATCAAACACTACCCATCCTGTCCCACCCATAAAAACTGCAGCATGTTTGGAGCGCTGTGGAAACCGAGGGGAAACTTGCCACTTCCCTGGATTCACAACTTAAGAAGAAACAAGAGAGGAAAACGTCTGTAAATCCAGGCTCTCGCCCATTTCTCTGTCACACCGACACAGGCCCTTTAACTGTACTGTAAGGTGAGCTCGGTACAGCTACTCCTGCGCTGTCTCGTCTACAACTTGCAACTGGACCGCTTCACTCGGACTAAGATGCATTCTGATGACCGTAACTTCTTTGCAGTCTTTCTGCCTGACAAAATAGTTTTTTTAAATGGATGGATATTAACTCGATTATCCTCATGGGGTCACGTCGTGCACAAAACGCCTTTAGTTACACTGTAAATGTTTTGAAATGGATTAGTGCCAAACCACGAATCCTGCCTGCCATCATGACAGAATCAGAAAAGAACCAGGTGCATAATAATATATTAAAGCATATATTATATATTTCACATATTCAACCTAATTTATCTGAACTTATTTTTGTTTATTAAATGAAAACAGAATAAATACCGCACAGTATTTATTGACGTTATATAAAGTTATAAAGTTGTGCTACATTATCTCAGAATTGTAGTGTTGCAGGCTGCATATAGACTTTAAAAGCATTTCTAGTTTGTTTTAGTGTTTGTTCCTACATGTGCAGTTAATGCAGACGATGGTGTGAATCATACCATTAGAGGTATCATCATGCTAACTTTCTCAGCGTGTTTTACTGTAAGTGATCCTTACTGTCATGTGCATCCTTTAAAACCACACGGAAGTTTGTAATGTGACTTGTCGACACAATATTATCACCGAGAAGCCATCTTGAAGTCACCTGTACTCCGACATCTGCTCATAATACTTGAATGTAACAGTAACGTTTGAAGACCTGGCTCTGCTGAACATAAACACATCACATTCCTGTTCACTGCTGTCTTTAGCCTTACTCTTCTTCTCTCTTAGATGTGAACATGACTGGGTGTTCAGACCAAAACAGCACTGTGTTTCAAAAGCGGTTGGGGGGGATATTTCATCAAGTTGAAATTTGATGTTTGACGTATGGTTGGTACAAGCCATGAATCAGTTCCTTCATCGTGCAGCTATACTTTTGGGGCACATCTCTACAGTTCCAATTCTGTGCAAAAAATGCTTTTTACAATCCAGACGAAGCTAATACCAATTAGCTGAATCAAGTTAGTTTGCTAGCCAGTTGCATGTTTCTCGTAAAACGCAGCACTAAATCGCCTTTAACTTCGGAAGATAACTATGTTATTTGGCTAAGACAACTTATGTTTGCTTCGGCTTTGAAATGCTCTAGTTTCTCATTTTTTTTACAGTGCAGTTGTACTAAAGAAGTCAAGCTTGAGGACCCTGTGATCACACTTTTAACTTGTGCGAAAGAAAAAGTAAAAAATAATGTAAAACTCTTTGTAATCTGAGAAACACTTGTAAATCAATAAAAGAAAATGCAGTTGTTAGCTTCAGCTATGAATTTCATTTGTCTAGTGCCATTGTGCTACAAAAGACAAGTGTGGAGACAATGGAGGATTACTGTGATCACGCTTTCAACTTGCACGTAAAATAAAAGGCTTAAAAAAATGTAACGGAAACGGAAAAAAATTAATCCTAAGAAAGTTTTATCAATAATAATTAATTGGTGAAAGAATGAAATCATGACAGTTGTGACACATGACAATA